GTCATCTTTAAAAAAATCTTCTCGGGAACCACTTGGACAGAAAAGATGAATCTTGTGTGAGAGCTTCGTTACATAATGTAAATTCATTTTTTTTCATATCATAACCCCCGGGGGTAAGGCGGGGCCACAACAGGAGGTTAAAGTTTTACATAGGAATACATGTATACAGGAAAAATCTTCTTCTCAAGAACAGCAAATCCATTATTAGTCATACTGATATAGAAGCATCCTTAGGTAGTGTAGATTCAAGGTTATTTAAATCATGACCCCTGGGGAAGGGTGGGTCACAGCAGGGGATGGGCGTTTTACAGTAAATATAAGGAAATATCTTTCAAAATCTTCTTCTCAAGAACAGCGCAGCCATTGTTAGTCACTTTAATACTGAAGCATCAACAGGTAGTGTAGATTGAAGTTTGTTCAAATCATGGCCCCCAAGGGTAGGGCGGGGCAACAACAGGAATCAAAGTTGTACATGGGAAGAGATAATATATACGAAAAATCTTTAAAAAGTCTTTTTCTCAAGAAAAGCAGAGCCATGATTAGTCATATCAGTAAAGAAGCACCCTCGGGAAGTGTAGATTCAAAATTGTTCAAATCATGACTCATGGTGGTAGGGAAGGGTCACATCAGATGATCAAAGTTATACATAGGAATACATGTATATAAGAAATATCTTTAGAAAAATAAAAATCTTCTTCTCAAGAACAGCAAAGGCATGATCACTCATTTTTATATGGAATCATCCTCAGGTAGTGTAGATTGAAATTTGTTCAAATCATGACCCCTGACTTAAGGGTTAATGGCAAAAATTGGGGATCAAAGTTTAACGTAGGAATACATGTATATAGAAGAAGTCTTTAAAAATATTTCCCCCAAGAACAGCAAAGTCATGATTAGCCATAATTAAATGGAAACATCCACAGGTAATGCAGAAATCAAGTTTTGTTCATATCTTGCCCCGTCAGGTAGGGTGGGCAATAAAAAGTTATCAAAGTTTTACATAAGAATATGTAGGAAAAAAGAATCTGCTGGTGAAGAACGACAAGTTCATAGTTATTCAGGATAGCGTTTTGGCCCCTGGGCCTCTTGTTTACATTTCGGCAAAATATGGACTGTGCCATTATTCTCGCATGGGAATGGGGGTATCATTTTGTAAGCTCAGTGGTCACAGGATCACTTAGTTTATTCTAAATTCGTTTTAAAATTCTCCCCTTATTTTATCGCTTTATTACCCTTTACGTTTAATTTTAGGGAACGCCCATTTGATTCTGGAAAGGGGGGGGTAAATAATCTGTCCTCCTCGAAAATGTTGGACATGAAAAACCCGTCCTCGACTGGCAAGAAAGTGAGTTATCTGTCCTTGACTTGTGCTACCACCCAAAACCCCTTCCCAGGATTTTGACATTTAGATTTGGGTAATATTTTATCGCTATTTTTTTTTTCTTAATTTTTTTATTTATTTATTTTATTTATTATTTATTTATTTATTTGATTTTTGCTTTTCGGACTTTCTCCAGTGAAAAAGAAAATAAATAATCTGTAATCTATTCTCGATCATCTTGGAAATACGAAAGCCTATTAGGATCAAACTACGGTAAAAAAAAATTTAAAAGGCGTTATAACGCATTTTCAAAAGGCGTTCTAACGCGAAAAAAGGCGTAATTACGCCTTTTGAAAAGGCGTTATAACGCGGGAAAAGGCGTAATAACGCAAATAAAGGCGTAATTACGCCTTTCCAAAAGGCGTTATTACGCCTTTCCAGAAGGCGTTATTACGCCTTTCCAAAAGGCTTATTACGCCTTTTAAAAAGGCATTATTACGCCTTTCCAAAAGGCGTAATTACGCCTTTCTAAAAGGCGTTAATACGCCTTTTCAAAAGGCGTTATTTTGCCTTTCCAAAAGGCGTTATTACGCCTTTTTTAAAGGCGTTATTACGCCTTTCTAAAAGGCATTAATACGCCTTTCCAAAAGGCGTTATTATGCCTTTTGAAAAGCCATTATTATGTCTTTGATAGGCCCGTGCTTTTGAAGGGGGGGGGGGGCAGCCTCCCATAAAATTGACAAGCAAACAAAAAAACAAGACCCCCCCCCCCCGAAAAAAATAAACTGCCTAAACTTGAGGGGAATCTTTTTCTAACTTTTCGGTAAAACTTTTTTTTAAATGCAATGACTTGCCCGAGTTTAACCATACTGCAACAAAATAATGTTAAGGGGCCAAGCAATCAACAAATTATTTTTTATATTTGAACTATAGCAAGACTATCCCCCCCCCCCCCCCGCATTCGTACTACCGGCCTGTTTGAAAAGGAGTTATATCCAAAAATGGAAAGGCGTTACTTTAAAATGATAAATATATGAAAGATTGAACCAAAGCCATCTTTATTTATGCAATATTTAGATTAAATTTTTGATATTATAAATTATAGTATTTTCTATATTCCTGCATATCTCGCAGACAGCTGTTTGCATGCGTATTAAAAGAAGTCAACAAGCTACTTTTGAAAATCCAGGATTTAGGCAGAGCCAGCTTTGGGCTTTGCTAGCCATGTATTAAATTTGAAATATTTTTCTCCCCTCTTGGAAAAAAACAAGCAAACTGTTTGCATAGGTATAATGAGCAATTACCGGTAGCCTTCAACCAAATTTCTGAAATCCATGCACCTTGGTAGAGGTGTCTGGCATCAGAGAAGGACTAAGTTGGTTTAACACTGCAAAATATTTCACACATTTAAAAATCTTTTTTCCTGGAAATCTAATTATAATCAGCCCCCAGGGTGTGCTAAGTAAGTCATGTAATAAAAAATAAGAGGCGTAATAACGCCTTTTGGAAAGGCGTAATAACGCATTTTGGAAAGGCGTAATAACGCATTTTTAAAAGGCGTAATAACGCCTTTTGGAAAGGCGTATTAACGCCTTTTGGAAAGGCGTAATAACACCTTTTGGAAAGGCGTAATTACGCCTTTATTTGCGTTATTACGCCTTTTTCCGCGTTATAACGCCTTTTCAAAAGGCGTTATTACGCCTTTTTTCGCGTTAGAACGCCTTTTGAAAAGGCGTTATAACGCCTTTTAAATTTTTTTTTGCCGTAGTTTGATCCTAATAGGCTCTCGTATGGAAATAAAGAATCTGTTCTTCACCGACATGAAAATAAGTAATCTGACTCGGAAAAATCCCCCCCCCTCCTTCTCAGAATCAAATGGCCGTCCCCTTATCATTTGCATTTACCTTCAGGAGGACAAACTAAAATATTCAGTATATTTGCAGATTTTAGTCTTGCCTTTTTCCTGCTTTGTTTAACAGTCCAGAGTGTGAATAACAGAACATAAGCAATGTATGATTTGGTTAACTATAGACTTTCGGCCAGAACTGGAGTTCTCAACTGTTTTTCATCTGTTTCAAGTGTTTTAATGATAAAATCTGATCTAATGATACCTCCCCCCCCAAAAAAAATCACTTCTTCAAAATATGGAGATCTATTTGAAAAGTATCACCCCCCCCCCCTCTTTCTCTTCTTCATGACACATTAGCTATGAAAACATTTGGACTAAATACTCAAGTGATTTGAAATACATAACTAAAAATCGTGTTATATTGACCCCTTATTGATTTCAGTTTTTGTATACTTGTCAAAAATTACCCGTGAGACAGAGTTTTCAGTCTGTAGACAAATGTAAAAGGACTAGTAACTTAGTATATTGATCTGTTGATGGAATACAAGGGCTATATTCACCATTTTTATTGAAAGACCCTGTACCCTGCCAATTAGGAATTTTAAATTGAAAAAGTGGAAAATACTGAAAATATCGATGTTTTAAATTTTGTTTTGATATAAAATAAAAACAATTACATGTAGGTTGTAAATTTATCCTTTATACACATCTCTAGATCTATATAAACTTTTTATAATCTCTGATAAAAAGTTCTAAAACATTAAATCTGTTACATGGTCATTTGGGATATTTATTTATTTATTTATTTATTTTTTTTTTTTTTTTTTTTGGCGGGGGGGGGGGGGATTTCAATTGAAACTGGGTCCCTTTACTACGTAAAATTAAATTCTTTTCAATGTTATGCTCCTGTCCATCAACAATACATTTTACAGAGTTCGTTGTCGAAATCTTAGCTTCTCTTTCTTTGGTTTTCTTAATGACTTCAAAATTCTTTATACTAGCAAGTCATTGAAATGTTCAGCGCAGGAATGCAATAAGATAAATGAGTGTAACACTAGCTTCTTGGCAAAAATGGTCTATATTTCAAATTTAACACAAATGACATTAAAGAATCTGTCCCCGTTTTTTAACCAGTATGTGCTTCTCTCTCTCTCTCTCTCTCTCTCTCTCTCTCTCTCTCTCTCTCTCTCTCTCTCTCTCTCCAATAAATACTACGATGATTATATGTTCATTTTATATATGTATATTCAATTCAATTTGTTTATTTACCAATTAAGGGCCCTCATGTGACAAAAAAGAAAGTACATTGTAAACACTTATATATAGTCATATACATATAATATAATATACATACACACAAGAGAGAAAGAGTTGCATGATTGATAGGAGAAAGACATTAAAAAGGAATAACCCAGATAGTTTTTATACATATGCATAAATTCTGCACAAATAAAAAAAAGGTATTTGTATGTTAACACTGTGTATTTCAAATTATAATTTTTTTTTAAAGATCCACTCGCCTACTATCGCTACAGAGATGGTTATATACGTCTGTTAAAAACGCCTGAAGTCCTGTACAATTCTAGATACGCCTCTTCAAAAAATTCAATTGTGCCATTGGTTACACTGTAATTTCAGGGGAGGGGGATTGAAAATATTGCCTTAGTGCTCTTTGAAAGTATCCCAATGTTTCCCTTTATTCAAATCTCAATCATCTATAATCATGATACTTATCATTGTCAATCATGGTACAATTTACTTAATCTAGCTCTTCATTACACGAAAAACCATAAAAGGTATAACCACAGCGACATCTTGTGGTGGAAGATTAAGTGTCAAAAATTTTGACAAAATAAAAGAAATGTTTTGGTTAAAATAAATGGACTGAAAGATAAATTCTTTGGAGTAGGAAAGATAAGAATGGACGGAACAGATAAAGAAAGTGTAGCTGTTACCACTGGGGCAAGCACAGACTCTATATCAGAACCATCGTCCACAAATAGTTCCAAGGAATCGGTATCACCCTCCAAGTCAATTTGTTCAACTTCCTCAAACTCTTCAGGAGAGCAGCCAGCAGCAACGGAACATACAAAGGCAGAGCTTTTGACAAGTCTTTGCTTTTATTTAGAAAACTATAAGTATAGCTACTCAAATGTTGTTTTAATTAAATAGAATCTTTTAATGCTCGAGGAAATTCGAATTTGTAGCGTATCAGTTTTTTTCCTGTTAATTCCATATGCTTTGTGGACAGCATGTTTTCTTTAGTTTTTGGTAGACGATCGAACTTCAATCATGGTTAAGGAAGTAGAAAATTGTGAGCTATTTTCAGGAATAAACCTGCTTTGTTAACAAATGAAAGTAGGCGTGTCCGTTTGACCATCACACACACACATTGTCATACACTCTTATATATTGCATTCCTTTTAACTTAAAAAGTACAAGAGTATTGTTGAAATGAGCAATGTCATTTACTGATTACTATACTGTTCATTGGAATATCTTTTTCTTATTATTGTAATAATTTCATACTTGTCTGTTCTGGACTCTAAATTAGAAATAAAATGTTCTGTTCTGTTCTGTTCATTGTCATTGCTGTGGTTACATGTAACTTTAAGGCTACATCCAGGTTAAATTCTGAGAAATTGCACATTTGAAAGAAGGGAAAGGGAAGAAAAAGGAAGCTACATATTGCACCTCCATCTCTCACTCCTAGATATTTGAGGCCACTTTAAAAAAAGAGGGAATGGGGTTTCAGGTGATGCCTCACCAATGTTAGTAAAATTTACGGTCGGGAATTTAAAAAATTTGTAAACCACAAGGCAAAATATCTTTCTGAAGTATTTAATTAGGAATTTTCTTATATCAACAGATTTTATACAATTCCTATACTAACCAAGATCACAATCTATATAGTGATGTTATAGAAGAACTTCAAGGAGAGTTTAAAATCCATTATTCTATTACTCTTTCAGGTATCATTTTTGGAGTCATCCAAAGTTGTTGCAAATGAAGAAATCCCTTTACTTCCTGGAGAAAAAGTGCAAGGAATAGGTACAGTGCAATTAAAATTGTTAGAGTTGTGTCCCTTAGTCTCCATTCTGGTCAGCGTTTTTTTAACTAAAGGTGTGCTAGTTTAACTAATTTTAACTAAATAAATGCTGTGCTAGTCTACTGACAATACTCATTTCAATGCAACATTGCCCTGATTGTTTATATAGCCTATATATATATTTTTACTTACAATTATTTTTTCTAGATGAAAATGTGACATATCTTTGCCCATACAACAGGCCAATCAAGGGAACATTAACAGTGACCAACTACAAACTGTATTTTAAAAGTGTGGAGCGGGTAAGTTTTAGAATCATATGAACTTGGCTTGAAAACCATGTGCTCAGACAAAACCTGTGGTACACCTTCAGTTGGTAAAAATTCTTTTGTGGTACCTATCTCTACTATAAATGTATGATATTTGCAAAGTGATTCTATGTTGTTGTTGGGAAAATATCAAGAAAGGGAACTGGTAAAATATGATATATTCATAAAGTTTGCATAATACTGAAAAAAGATTTACAGTTGAACTTCAGTATCCCAAACTCCAATATATTGAATACTATCGATATGTCGAAGTGAGTTTAAAGACTAAGCACTATCTTAGCCTCGATATCTCAAATCTTTTTCTTGGTCCTATTCTCGAGATAACAAGGTCTGACTGTAGTTGTTTTTTATATGATATTTTAAATGATATTACAACTTTAAAAATTTGTGTGAAACTTTTTTTATCAGGAATCTCCATTTGTACTGGATGTGCCTTTAGGAGTCATCAGTAAGATAGAGAAAATTGGAGGTGCAACCAGTAGAGGAGAAAATGCTTATGGAATTGATCTTCTTTGCAAGGCAAGTATCTTACAAATGAAAACAACGGTGGGGTTTCTGAATCTACTTGTGATTTTTTTTTTCAGGGAATATCTTGTCAGTAGTGGATATGATTTTTACCATTTCAGGATGTGAGGAACATAAGATTTGCCCACAGACAAGAAAATCACTCCAGGAGGCAGGTGTTTGAGAAAATCCAACAGTTTGCATTTCCCATCACAAACAAACAGGTACTGGTGCATGAAATGTGGTTTTAAATAGTTCTCAAAGTTTTCAGTCTGTTTCTACAGAAATAAATCTGATTTTTTTTTATAGTTCACATTCTTCTGAGATATGCAAAAAGAACTGTGAACGATAGTATTGTTCTCCCGCCTACCTCCAAGTCAATTTTCAAAAGTTAACACATTTGAATGATTTTTTCATATTTATATTCCTTTTTACGGGTAGGGTAATATGGACTGTCAGTTCACAAATTCATACCAAAGCTTTTTGTGTTTCACAGGGGAAGCATATGTTTACAGACAAAAAACTACAAAAATGCTTATTTTTTCACCAATTTCAAAGGGTTTTACAACTAAAATATTGTATTTTATTAATAATATATGTTAAATTTTATATGCGTAAAACATAAGAAAAAATTTAAGGAACATTTATTCATATCCAAGAATATTTTAAAATGTGCTGATGCTTTAAAGCCCGATTTCAATGGAACATATTGTCTACCCCCTTATTTAAAAAGCTGGAATTAGGGGTAGTTAACTATTTAACACTGGCATTAAAATTATCAGTCAATTACCATTGAACTGTTCTTTGCATTCAAGAAAGATTTTACTGCCAAATTGCCATTAGTATTGAATTAAATGGGTGTAAAATGTAGGCGGGAATCAAGAGTTAGCGTGCATTGTTGTTTGATGTTTTTAAGCAAATAAGATAAATTATGTCTTCAGTAGAAGTTATGTAATACATGTATGTATACTTCCTTGTTTCAGCAACTGTTTGCTTTTGAGTTTAAAGAAGACTATGGCATTGATGGTTGGAAGGTGTATAACCCAGAAGAAGAATACAGAAGACAGGTAGATGTTTGACCAAACAATGAAATCTCTTGACCAAGAGCAAGTTTTAGCAATTTCAAAGCTTTCTTCTGGGGAAGGAGGAGGGGGGGGGGGGGTTCTTTCTTAATTTAATTTTATATTTCTAGTAATTTTCTGATCAACGAGTGTCTGGCATCTGTCTGTCTATCAAGTATCATCTGTACACACCTCTCTCTTTTCAATAACTACTTGGCCAATTTCAGCCAAACTTGCCAAAAAAGCATTCTTGGTTAAAGGGAATTCAGATCTGTTAATATGAAGAGCCACATCCCCCACTTTCAAGGGGAAATAATAAAGAAATAGAGAACTTTTCAAATTATTACTCTCAAGAACACTGTGCCAGAAAAGTGCAAATTTTATGTTGAAGAATCCTTAATAAGTTGAATCCAAATTTGTTCAAATCATGGCACAGGGGTTAGAATGGGTTAAGAATAAGAAATCAAAGTTTTACATGGGGATAATTAGGGGGGGAAAAATAAAAATATTTCTTCTCAGGAACAGCATTCCCCAACAACTCTTATTATTATATAAACATCCCAGAATTGTGCATATTCATATTTGTTCAAATCATGGTCCTTGGGGCTAGGGTGACACTTGAAGACAAATTTAAAGTTTACAAGGGGACTATTTAGGAAATCAAAAGGGAAATGTTTTTATAGAACAAAAGGGCTACACTTTATCATGCTGATGTGCAATCATTTTCAAGTCATGTGGATTAATTTTTTTCTCAAATTATTAACCCAGAGGTTAGGGTTGGGATAAAATCAGGAATCAAACTTTACATATATATAGGAAAAAAAATCTTCTCCAGAACAGCATACTCAAGCTGGTCAAATTGATTTTCAGCATGTCCATGTAATACAGATTTAAGTTTGGTGAATTCATAACCCCATGGGACTAGGGTGGGGTCACAATATGGTTTATAACTTCATAGGAATATGGAGGGGAAAAAATCTTTTCAGTTCTCTGGTGACCAGCATGGGTCGAGGTGAGTGATGTGGCCCATGGACCTCTTGTTAAACTGAATGGAAAAATTTCTGAAGGAGGAAAATGCAGAAGTACCAAATGTTCATACGAGTCTATTTGTAGCTTATTCCTTGAGTTGACTATAATTAAGAATGATTTTGTTTATCAGGGCCTTCCTCCTGAGAGTTGGAGAATCACCAAAATAAATGAGAAATACGAGTTTTGTGACACATATCCCTCTGTGGTAAGATTATCAGAAATTAGTATCAAGCAAATCTGCAACAACAATAACAATTCGCTCTGAATTTGATGTTTCTTGTAAGTAAGATATTAAGGTATTCTACATCTTACAGCTTGTAGTCCCTGCCTCAGTGTCAGATGATGACCTCAAACAAGTAGCTTCTCATCGATCCAGAAACAGGCTACCTGTAAGTGTGATATAGTTTTTATAAGCTGTATAATTACATATTAATGATTAACTGTGGTTTATAATTAAAATATTTCTTGTGTTTTGCTTTATATACATAAATATTGAATGTTTATTTCACAGTTTTACTTTCTTATTTTACAATAAAATGCAAAACAATGGTATACATGTACATAATGATAAATAGGTGTTGTCCTGGATCCACCCCGAAAGCCAGGCTACCATTACCCGTTCTGCTCAGCCCCTTGTGGGAGGGGCTCCACTTCGTAGAAATCGACAAGATGAACACTATATACAGACCATCATGGATGCCAATGCACAGTCACACAAACTCTTTATCATGGATGCAAGGCCTCTTGTTAATGCCCTAGCAAATATGGTAACTAATGAAAAAAAAATCAAGTTAACTTATTTTACTTTGAAACATATAATCAATGCCTTGTTATTTTTCAAGTTCAATGAATCTTTGAATTAGAAAATTATCCAAGTTGACTTGATATTTTTAGGCCAAAGGAGGAGGATATGAAAGGGAAGAGTGGTACACGAATGCTGAGATTGCTTTCCTCGACATTCATAACATTCACGTAATGAAAGATAGGTAAATAGTAATACCTCTTACCTGTACTGGGCATTCATGTCTTAAAGGACAGGTAAATAGTAATACCTGTTACCTGTACTGGACATTCATGTCTTAAAGGACAGGTAAATAGTAATACCTCTTACCTGTACTGGACATTCATGTCTTAAAGGACAGGTAAATAGTAATACCTCTTATCTGTACTGGACATTCATGTCTTAGAGGACAGGTAAATAGTAATACCTCTTATCTGTACTGGACATTCATGTCTTAAAGGACAGGTAAATAGTAATACCTCTTATCTGTACTGGACATTCATGTCTTAAAGGACAGGTAAATAGTAATACCTGTTACCTGTACTGGACATTCATGTCTTAAAGGACAGGTAAATAGTAATACCTCTTATCTGTACTGGACATTCATGCCTTAAAGGACAGGTAAATAGTAATACCTCTTATCTGTACTGGACATTCACGTCTTAAAGGACAGGTAAATAGTAATAACTCTTATCTGTATTGGACATTCATGTCTTAAAGGACAGGAAAATAGTAATACCTCTTATCTGTACTGGACATTTTATGTCTTAAAGGACAGGTAAATAGTAATACATCTTACCTGTACTGGGCATTCATGTCTTAAAGGACAGGTAAATAGTAATACCTCTTATCTGTACTGGACATTTTATGTCTTAAAGGACAGGTAAATAGTAATACATCTTACCTGTACTGGGCATTCACGTCTTAAAGGACAGGTAAATAGTAATACCTCTTATCTGTACTGGACATTCATGTCTTAAAGGACAGGTAAATAGTAATACCTCTTATCTGTACTGGACATTCATGTCTTAAAGGACAGGTAAATAGTAATACCTCTTATCTGTACTGGACATTCATGTCTTAAGGGACAGGTAAATAGTAATACCTGTTACCTGTACTGGACATTCATGTCTTAAAGGACAGGTAAATAGTAATACCTTTTATCTGTACTGGACATTCATGTCTTAAAGGACCAGTAAAATATTTATTACACTTATCTGCTTTAACAACACTCATGCGCTATATCACTTACCTGTCTTAGACAATCACAACTGTATTATGTGTGAAAAATAGGATAATATATTTTTTGCAACTCATCAGCTTAAACATACAACATTTAGATAGGTAAATAATTGTTCTTACCCACAGGAACATTATTATGAATTAGCTTATGATGAAGCATTAACATAATTTAGTTTCAATAAGGTTGAAAGGTAAAATTTTCTAACTGTTTACTATTTACCAACTATTCCTTTTTCCAATGGAGTACCCACTTATCTGGTCCTTCGGGAAAAAGAGATACCAGTATTTTTTCTGGAATTATGACTTATTTTCTTGATCACAGTGTTATATGTAAAGTCTTGAATATTTGATGAAAGTTACTCACTTGACTTCACAAAACTGACATTTTACTTTTTTGGAATCAGTGCTTTTTGAAAAATTATTTCCAGGCTTTGGAACTGAGTAATGGCATCTATCAAACACTTTCTTTTTTTTTTTATCAGTGAATACTTTAATACCAGCTAACTCAGCAGAAAGTGAATAAGTAGTTTCTTATTATTTCGGATCAATTTGCATACTACATTTCTTTAAAATATGAGAGTATGTAGCACTCTGCAACAGGGTATAAAGAAGCCATCTATTGATGACTAACAGGCATATTACTGTAAAAAATAAACACCCAACAGGGGACAATTCTTAATTTAAAATGGCAGAGTTTTCCCCCTGTGTAACTGAGATAGTAATTTTGTTATTCTATAATCAAAATTTCCAAAAAGTATCCAGTTAACAGTATACTTGTTGACAGCTGTAGTTGTAAGATATGTGACATATACTTTTGAAAGGTAATCAGTATTTACTTTCTGTTTGTAGTTTGAGGAAACTTCGTGAAGTTGTTTTTCCCACCATTGATGACAGTAAATGGTTGTCCAACATTGAAGCGACCCATTGGCTGGATCATATTAAGGTCTGCTGTAATAGGATTCTATGATTGGTTTCTCAATGTCACACTTTGTTTTCTCAGTGTTTGCAATATTGTAATATGTATTTTTCAAAGTTATGTACAATATTTGTTTACAGCAAATTTTAGCAGGGGCTTTAAGAATTGCAGATAAAGTGGAAAGTGCCAAGACATCAGTGCTAGTTCACTGTAGTGATGGTTGGGACAGAACTGCCCAGGTAATGCACTACATAAACAATTAATATTCAGAGGTTAAATTGATAAGTTTTATATGATTTTACTTGACATTTTGGAATGATAAGAAATTAGAAAAAAACAATTAAATGATCAAAGCAATTGATATTTTAGCGTTATCTGAGAAAACTCCCAGTTTGTTAACCATTTCACTTTACTGACTACCAGTTGAAGTTTTAATGACTTGTGTTAATTAAATCTTACAGCTTACGAGCCTGGCCTCCCTGATGTTAGACCCCTATTACAGAACAATTAAAGGTTTTGAGGTGCTTATTGAAAAGGAGTGGTTGAGCTTTGGTCACAAGTTTGCCCAGCGTATTGGTCATGGTGAGGACAGACACTCGGACACTGACCGATCGCCTGTATTTTTACAATTCATCGACTGTGTTTGGCAAATGACTCAGCAGGTAAGTAGAATCATATTCTTTTATTTTTATCTGTGAAAAATAAATGTAGCTTTTTATTCTTCACCTAGTAATAAAAGGCTGGCTATATATTTCTTATATTTGAAGCATATTTTTTTTTTTTTTCATAGCAGAATCAAATTTTTGCTAACATAAAATGGTCAATCCAGTTAGTAAAATCTTTAAAATAAGGTTTATATGTATGCCTTTATTCATTGAATAATGAAGAAAAACACTCAAAATAACTGTTTTCTAATAATTTTACAACTAAAACAATTTCAGAAAATCTACAAGTCTTCCAAAAAGAAACTATGCTGAAAAGAATTTATTTTTCACTTTTTGAACAGAAAGAAATGTAGGCAACAGGCTCCATGCTTAATATTTGAATGCTGTAGATTCCTAAATATACACAAGGAATATATTATCACAAAATTTCTTAAGAAGCATCACTAACAAAAATAAAATTACTTGCTTTTATTTTCATCTTACTGGAATACATTTTAAAAAAAAAAATCTTAATTAACAATCCACTAGCTTATTCATGTTTTTGCAATTTGGCATCTATGAGTCAGTTCACTATAATAAGTTCTTGCGTAAATAAGGAATCTACAGTAATATAACAAGGAATATTATAAAAATTATTTTTTTCTTTTTTGGAAGTACTGAAAAATATTTATTATGATGTCAAATTGGATCTAAGTGCAAGAGAACCTTTATAAATCAGTTGGTTTATCTTTCCCTTAAAAGAATACTTTCTACTTTTGCTTAGATAGCTCTTTTTTTGTAGTTTCCAAATGCATTTGAATTCAATGAGCATTTCCTGATCACCATCATTGACAATGCATTCAGCTGCTTGTTTGGAACCTTCCTGTGTAATTGTGAACAACAGAGAACAGAAAAGGCAAGATTTATCTCCCTTTTCCATTCTTAACGTTTTTACATTTTACAAGTTTAATAATTCTCTCTTTATAATTGTTTTTGGAGTAGTGAAAAAAAATTACTCTCACTAATAGAATTGATACAAGAAATGAACAATAGTTGTTTCATAGAATATTACAATATTGTACATGTATAAAATAAGAACGGGATCTAGATGTATCAGATATTATTATCCTTAAGAATTATACAGTTCGTCACTCTGATTGGTTTAAAGTATGTCACATGCAGAAAGACAATTCGTGATTTCTCCCTCACATGCAGGGGGACAACTTATGTTATCTCCCTTCAGATGACAATGAAATAGCGCAAGAGAATGTGCAGGACAACAACTGCGTTTTCCCCCTTTAGATAAAAATAAAGTGTTGCAAGCGAGATAACTCATATTATATATAATTGATATACTGTATGTGTAGGATCAGTAAACAGAAAATTCTTATTTGTCTAGTAAACTCTAAAAATTAAAAATATGGAATGCACAGAGAGTAGGAGAACACAAGAGGTTTGACTGATATTTTCTACTCTACTTATTTTAGGTGGGTAGGTAGATTCTTCAAGAAAACCAAACTATTATGGACTATTTAAAAGGGAGACATCACAAGTTAGGTGCCCTCAGCTGACAACCGACAACTCAAACCTGATAATTTGTGTTGTTACACTTTCATGTTAAATAGTCAAATTTGATTGGTTTAAAAATATTTGTTAAAAAGTACTGTTACCCTACCAAGTGCGTAAACCATCCCCTCCAAGTAACATTACATAGCGATGGTTGACAATGCATATTGATGGGAAACAATATAAAAATTGTTAACTCCGCAGAATTCTGCGTGTACAGTTCACTGTGCTTTTTTAGGTCACCTGAGTCACTCAGGTGACCTATTGCTATCCGTTCTCGTCCGTCAGCGTGCGTCGTGTGTTAACATTTGAACATTTTTAGCTTCTTCTCTGAAACCGCTTAACCAATTTCAACCAAATTTGGCATATAGGATCTGTGGGTGAAGGGGAACAAAAATTGTGAATTTCATGGTCCCTGCCCCCCTGGGGCCTGAGGGGTGGGGCTAAAACCACCAAAAATAATGCAATCTTTAAAAATCTTCTTCTTTACTCCAGGACATCAAGCAGTCAAACTGTTGGCATCATTGTAATAAGCATTGAGCCCTCTACCAAAATTGTGAAATTCATGGCCCCAGGGTCAGGGGTTCTGGCCCCAGGGTGGGGCTATATAGATCATATAGTGAAAGTGCATTATTTCTTTGAAAATCTTCTTCTCTGCTCCTGGGTATTAAATAAAGTAACTAAGTACATAGTTATGAAGAGCAAGAGAGCCTCTTCCAAAATTGTGAAATTCATGGCCCCAGGGTCAGGGGTTCTGGTGTTAGGGCAGGGCTCTATTGATTATATAGTGAAAATGCATTAATTCTTTGAAAATCTTCTTCTGTGCTGCTGGGTATTAAAAAAAGTAACTAAGTACATAGTTGTGATGAGCAAGAGAGCCTCTTCCAAAATTGTGAAATTCATGGCCCCTGGGTCAGGGGTTCTGGCCCCAGGGTGGGGCTCTATTGATTATATAGTGAAAGTGCATTATTTCTTTGAAAATCTTCTTCTCTGCTCCTGGGTATTAAATAAAGTATCCAAGTACATAGTTATGAAGAGCAAGAGTGCCTCTTCCAAAATTGTGAAATTCATGGCCCCAGGGTCAGGGGTTCTGGTGTTAGGGCAGGGCTCTATTGATTATATAGTGAAAATGCATTAATTCTTTGAAAATCTTCTTCTCTGCTCCTGCATATTAAATAAAGTAACTAAGTACATAGTTGTGATGAGCAAGAGTGCCTATTCCAAAATTGTGAAATTCATGGCCCTTGGGTCAGGGGTTCTGGCCCCAGCCTGGGGCTATATAGATCATATAGTGAAAGTGCATTATTTCTTTGAAAATCTTCTTCTCTGCTCCAGGGTATTAAAGGTGCTTGGACACAGATTTGAAGTTAATATTTTCTCAGATTTTCTGTATAATTTCATGACTTATATGTTGCTATAGCATTTCATACTAAAATATAATAAAAATCTTATTTCATGTCGAAGTTATTGAAACTTCAAATTTCTGGACGCGTTTGATTGACACATCCTTGCACTTTCACAATTTTTAATTTTATTCTTAGTACTTAAGAAAAGTGGCAGTTTTGTTGTGTATTAATGAAAAGTATTAAAACTATAATCCAGAAAATTCAGAGTAGAAATGTTCGAAAGCAAAACCCACTCACAGTATTGTCAGTCTGTGCTCAGCGGTGTGTGCAGACTTTAACAATTGAACACACCCGGTGAATCGTAAACATTAACAATAACAGAGCTCGTGCCCTGTTTATAGAAACAGTTTACGTTTCACGGGTGTATTCAATTTGTTAAACTCTGTACACAACACTGAGCACGGGCTGACGATATTAGTGAGGGGGTTTGCTTTCGCACATTTCTACTCTGAATTTTCTGGATTATAGATGAAATGTTTTTCATTAATACAAAACAAAATCGCTTCTTTTCTTAAATATTAAGGATAAAGATAAAATTTGTGAAAGTGCAAGGATGTGTTAATCAAACGTGTCCAGGAATTCGTAGTTCCAATAATTTCCAGATAAAATAAGTTTTTAATTATATTTTCGTGTGAAATGCTATTGCAATATATAAGTCGTGATATTACACAGAAATTTTGAGAAAATATTAACTTCAAATCTGTGTCTAAGCACCTTTAAATAAAGTAACTAAGCACATAGTTATGAAGAGCAAGAATGCCTCTTCCAAAATTGTGAAAATTCATGGCCCCAGGGTCAGGGGTTCTGGTGTTAGGGCGGGGCTCTATTGATTATATAGCGAAAATGCATTGATTCTTTGAAAACCTTCTTCTCTGCTCCTGGGTATTAAATAAAGTAACTAAGTACATAGTTATGATGAGCAAGAGAGCCTCTTCCAAAATTGTGAATTTCATGGCCCCAGGGTCAGGGGTTCTGGTGTTAGGGCGGGGCTCTATTGATTATATAGTGATAATACATTGATTCTTTGAAAATCTTCTTCTCTGCTACTGGAGATTATTTAAACAAACTAAGTGCACGGTATGATGCATAAGGATGCCTTTTCAAAAATTGTTAATTTCATGGCCCCAGGGTCAGGGGTTCTGGTGTTAGGGCGGGGCTCTATTGATTATATAGTGAAAATGCAACGATTCTTTGAAAATCTTCTTCTCTGCTACTGGAGATTATTTAAACAAACCAAGTACATGATTATGATAGGCAAGGATGCCTCTTCCAAAATTTTCAAATATATGACCTCAGTTTTTGGGGTTCTTGAGGAAGGGGGGGGGGCTCTATTGATTATATAGTGAAAAAGCATTAATTCTATTAATTAATCATTAATTAATCCTGTCTGCTCCTTAGCATTGAGCTGATAAATAAATTGCTTAGCTATGATGAAAATGGGAACTTCGAACAGAATTTTTAAATCTTGTGGTCCTAGGGTCAGGGGTTCTGGCATAACGAGGGGGGGGGGGGCTTTTGATAATATAGTGGAAAAGTGTTAATTCTTTGAAGTCCATAGTTATGATGATGAGGGTAACTCTTCCAAATTTGTAAATTTCTTGACCCTTGGTCTTGGGTTCTGGTGTTAGGGTAGGGCTTTGTTGAATCTGTAGTGAAAATGCATTGTACCTGTGAAATTCTTCTCTACTTCTGGGCATATTGGAAGAAAACTGATTAAAAGTTTAAATGATATAAGTAAGCGTGTATCTACCAGATTTTTGAACATCTGGACCATTTGTCTAAGCATTCTAGTCCTGGGCAGGGCTCTATTAATTTGTATTCTACTGAGAGAAGTTATTCCCCTTTTCCATTCACCACTGTAAATAATGTATTTGAAAGGTTAATAGAATAAGATAATTATGCAAGAATGTTTATCATATAATTCAAAAAGTATTTTCTTAGTTTTAATAATCAGGTAGACCTGTAGGTAATAGATAAATAAAAATGAGACAAAAATAACTTATCTTATTAAAAGTTCTTCAAAGACCGTAAGAGAGGTTAATGCTAGAGGTCTTAATATGGGTTTAAAAATAGTACAGAGGCACTAATAGTTTGTTAATAGTCTGCATGGCGATAGTGTTAAGTGGGGGACAGATTAGAACTTAATTTATGAGTTGATACTGAATACTAGACTAATTATTTTGTTGATCCTGATCTTCCTACTTCTCTTGCTTTAGGGCAACAAAGCTTCATCTATCAGTGTATTTAACTTCTAAATTGTTGTATTATACTCAGGTGACCGTTAAGGCCCTTGGGCCTCTTGTCGTTTAAATGCATTCTAAATACATTCAGTATAACGAAAAAATATTACATGTTTATTTAGGGTAATGTGAAATTGTTATCCCTTGAAAACCATTGCTGACCTTGGCTTCGCCTCCGTCAGCAATGGTTTTCTCGGGATAACAATTTCACATGCTACCCTAAAAAATATTTTTATAATGTCTCCCTTCTAAACAGTCAATAATTGTATAATGTCACATATGGAAAAGTACCTGTGAAGAGATTTTGTGATAGACATCACAATACAAGTAAACCTATGTTTTACTGTGTTATGACATCTGACGTTTTCTATGCTGTAGGGTGGTATCTCTGTTTTACTGTGTGGTAAGAGCCGATATTTTTATGCTCTAGGGTCTGAAACAGAAGACGGTGTCTTTGTGGTCATTTGTGAACTGTCAGATTGAGGAGTTTACCAATCCTTTATATGCCGCCTCCCTACAGCAGCACGTCCTGTTTCCTGTAGCCAGTCTGAGGAGAATTGAACTGTGGACTGGATACTATTGTAGATGGAATCCTCGTATGAGACCTCAGGTAAATTTCACTTGTTCAAGAGCAATTTAAATTTATAATTAGATCAATAGAATAAGATGGTTATTGTTTTTCTTAGATCTCATGAGATTTTCTTGATTAAAAAAAACATGTAAATATTGTTTTTGCCTCTTTTAAGGAACCAATTCATTTGAGGAACAAAGAACTATTGATGTTGAAGGCACAGTTACAGAAAAAGGTGGATGAGCTTCTCAAAGAGCTTGAAAACAAGAAAGCCAAAGGAAAGCTGGTCCCCCAAAACAGTCCGCCGAGAATCTCCTCCCCAATTAATGTGTGAAACACTGCCACTCATTGGTTGGTTTTAAACATAGAAGAACTCTTTGAATCATTTCATTAGTGTAGATGAAGTAAGGCAATTCAAGTGTTTGGGTTCCGTCATGTTCAAACGTGGAGTCTAAACAAACTCTTAAATATCGTCCAGATGGACAAAATTGTGCAATACTTTTTGTATCAAGTTACAAGTACTTATAGTGTTTATGTCCTTATTAAAGGATCATTGGTGAACTACTAATTACCTGCTTTATTTTTCAATTGAATAAAGATTAAATTATGTGATGAGGGTAACTCAGTAAATGAAGATCACTAGTTGCAGGGGCTGACAAATAGATTTTTTAGGCACTTGTCCAAGGGCAAGTGTATGGTGAAAATTCACTTGCCCTACCTGAATTTTTGCTTGCCCAACCATAAACTAATACTGTATTTATATATATTTCAAAAAAAAAATAGGAAGAAAAATACTGAGTAGAACATGCAATGCCCTGTGCCCATGATTAAATCTATGACTTAAATATTTATTTTATTTTTTTAATTCACTTGCCCACAGGCAAGTGGTTGAAAAAATTTTACTTGCCCTCTCCTAAAATTCACTAGCCCAGGGCGTTGGGCAATGGGATTTGTCAGCCCATGAGTTGGCAAAGAGGTAGGTTTTCTGAAGTACTATATATACATACATACATGTACACCCATCTGATGAGGATAACTCGTTAAACAAAGATCGCTTGTCCGAAGAGAGGTTTTCTGAATAACTAAATACACTCCCGTATAAGTCTGTCGTATTTTTTTTTTTTTGGTTACATTATTGGGTAGGAAACTGTCATTGACCTGTTAATAAGTCAGTATGATTTTTTTTCCCCATATAAACAGATTGTGTTGTGTTTGTCTGTTTCAAGCATGTTTTGGAGTATGACATCAATACATGATCTTTAATTGTTAAAAACAATATAAAATTTAAACAAAAATAAAATCATTAAAATTTGTAAGCACTTTATTGATTGGTAACCTTAGATGCTCCTTTCCTGGATGAAAGAATCCTCAGAACTTGTCCTGACATTGGTCAAGAATAATTGTTTGGGTTTTTGAGAAAATACCACATTTTGTCATCCAGAAAACTGAATGCGCAATTTTCATACAGTGGAAAAATAAATTCTGTGGTCTACAATTCTTGTAACAGTATAGCTGTAATTCTGTAAGAGACAGTGTCAAAAACGAAGATAAAAATATAGATACAGTATATATATTTATTGCAGTTTTCTGGCTTTATAAAAACCAACAAGTACTAAATACAACAAAGAATGGCAAAGCATATCCTGTGTAAATTATACTTCGTAAAAATATTTAAAAACTTGTGGTACATGTTGGTTGTAGAAATGCCGTCACTTCACAACCTGTATCAGTGGTATGAAACTTTCAGTCCTAATCTGATTCTGTGGTCCGGTTTGGGAAAATAAGGTGCTAGTAAAATTTGATGTATTTAAATGACTAGACTATAAATGGAATGGAGATGAGGTATTTTAAAATGAAATGTACAAGACATGAAGGCACAGGTCTTTATACAGAACCTGAGTTGACAATACAATATAATATACCATTACACGTAATTTGTAGACAACACTTGATTTATATACAAATATCAACCAGTACATTTCATGTACCACAGTGTGTAAACTAATTCAAATCTGGGTAGAAAAGACAAATTGACAATGTAAAACAATTTTAAATGAAATTTCTTAACATTTTTGAGAAATGTATACTAAAGGTTTTGTTAGACATGTAGAAGTCTCGATAAGTACTGTATAAACCCCTTAACATTGATATGGAAAGACTATATTTCAATGACCTCTTTGAGATAATGTTAGAATGGTCTATTGCACAATTATTATGGCCTTTCTTTGATATGCATTTAACAAACTGAAGAATATTAAGATTTGTAGAAATCTTGAATCAAGATTGCTGGTCTCTGATTAATGGATGATGCCATTATTTCAGTCTTCATAACAGCAAACAAAATCTCCGAGAGATCAAACTGAGCTGATAAAATACCATACAGAAGTCCTAAATAAATACTGAACTTATAAAATCCCAAACAAAAGTTCTTCAAAACTGAGCTAATAAAATCTCATGGAAAATTCCTTAAAAACTGAACCAATAAAACCCCATACAGAAATCCAAAAGAACAGAGCTAATAAAATTCCATACAGAAGTTGACCTGCAAAACTGAGCTAATCCCATAAAGAAGTCCTAAAAAATGAGCTAATAAAATCCAATACAGAAGTCTCCCAAAAAAACTGAGCTAATAAAATCCCATATAAAAGTCCAACAAAAGTGAGCTTATAAAATCCCAAAAGAAGTCACCCTAAAAATGAGCTAATAAAATCCCATACAGAAGTCTTAAAAACTGAGCTAGTAGAAGTCTTAAAAACTGAGCTAGTAAAATCCCAAACAGAAGTCCTACAAAACATGACAAGGCACTCGAAAAAAAGTTCTGAAAATGTATGTAGCAAAAACCTTTTTTTACAATTAATAAGACTGCATTCTGTTACAGTGTATAGTAAAAATCTGGACACCTACACAATCAGTAAACACTTCAAAAGGGCAAGAAAATGAAGAATTTGGGATATGGTGATGAATTCTATAAATAAAAATGTCAAAGCAGAAGTGAGATTCTAAAATGAAACTGCAGCATTGTAAAGTTAAAAAGTAACTAAAGCTAATAAAATCTAATGATTGTAGACTACTGGTGTTTGTTTGAACAAACAATAGACAACAGGTGCTTGTATAGAAAAACAATCGTGCTATATACAACAGATACTTGTACATAAAATCAATCTTAACCATATACAACTTGTTCTTGTTTGTCAAAACAATCTAAACCATACAACAATTACTTGTATGGAAAACAATCTTACCATATACAACATGTACTTGTATTAAAAAAAAAAACAATCTTACATAATGCAGCATGCAGGTATTTGTATGAAAAACAATCTTACTGTAAACAACAGGTACTTGTATGAAAAAAAAAACAATCTAAGACTTGCTGTTAACAACATGTACATGTATGAAAAAAAATCATACTGTAAACAACAGGTACTCAATCTTGCTATTAACAACAGGTAGTTGTGTTAAAAAAAACCCCCAAAAACAATCATCCTGTAGACAATAGGTACTTGTATATGTAAAATAATCTACCTAATACAATAGGTGCAGTAATTAGTAACTAAAGATTTAATATACATTTACAGAATTAATGGGATAGAAAGCAAATTTTTCTTCAATTCCTGACTTCTCCAACCGACAAATATACATACATGAACTTGATAGTCTCACTGAATTTTAGAGAAAAAACTCTATAAACCATAACACAACTGTTTAAAGTGTCAATTAAATATTTTCTATCAAATTTCTATGATTTTCTACATCAACCACTTATTTCTTAACATAGATTAACATACATAATCTATTTTTATTATGTAAAAATTGAATTTCCAAGTAACACAGTAAATCTGATCCATTTTCTAATTGATAAAAATGTTACTGCACAATTATTCCAGATTGTTCAATGCCATTTGATAATGTTTGGTAAACAAGAGGCCCAAGGGCCTTAATGGTCACCTGAGTACAATACAACAATTTAGAGGATCCATACACTGATAAATGAAGCTTTGTTGCCCAAATGCAAGAAAAATAGTATGATAAGCATCAACAAAATAATTGGTATAGAATCTATCTGTCCCCCATTTATCACTATTACCATGCAGACTATTAACAAAATGTCTATTTTTAACCCCATATTATTACTTCTCACATTGGTCTCTCTTGGCCTTTGAAGAACATTAAAAAAGATAAGTTATTTTTGCCTCACTTTCATTCATCTATTATTTCCAAGTCTACCTGCTCATTAAAACTACAAAAGTACTTTTTGTATTATACAATAAATATTCTTGCATAATTCTCTTATTCTATTAACCTTTCAAATACATTATTTACAGTGATTAATTATCAAAGATGAATGGAAAAGGGGAATAACTTTGCTCAGCAGAATACAAGTTCATAGAGCCCTGGCCAGGACCAGAATACTTGACTAAATAATCCAGGTGTTCAAAATTCTGGTAAAAATACCCTTGCATATTAAAACTTTTACTCTGTTTGCCTCGAATATGCCCAGAAGAATACAAGATTTTCAAAGAAATGCATGTTCACTATGTTATTAAATAAATAAAGCCCCCCCTCCCCCTTTACACCAGAAAATCTTACCCAGGGGCCATAAACTAATAATTCTGGAAGAAGCACTTTGCTCATCATAACTATACACTTGTTTCTTTGCTTTATTACCAGTAGTAGAAAAAATATTTTGAAGAAATTATGCATTTTCACTATAAAATCAATAGAGTCCCCCCCCCCCCCAAAGAACCCCAGACCCAGGGGCCATGAATTTCACAATTTTGAAAAAGGCATTCTTCCTTATCCTAACCATGCACTTCCTTTGTTTGAACAATACCAAGGAGCAGAGAAGAAGATTTCAAAAGAATTTATGCATTTTCCTTATATATCATTAGAGCCCCGACCTAACACCAGAACTCTTCATCCAGGGGCCACAAAATTCACAATTTCTGAGGAGGCAGCCATGCTCATCATAACTATGTACTTAGTTTATTTAATATCCAGGAGAGAGAAGATTTTCAAAGAAATAATGCATTTTCACTATATATATCAATTGAGCCCCACCCTGACACCAGAACCCCTGACCCAGGGGCCATGAAATTCACAATTTTGGAAGAGGCAACCATGCTTATCATAACTTTGCACTAAGTTAGTTTATTTCATACCCAGGAGTAGAGAAGAAGATTTTCAAAGAATTAATGCAAATAATCAATAGAGCCCCCCCCCCCCCCAACAACTGAACCCCTGACCCAGGGGCCATGAAATTCTCAATTTCTGAAAAGGCAGCCATGCTCATCATATCTATGTTCTTATTTAGTTTATTTAATACCCAGGAGTAGAGAAGAAATTTTTCAAAGAATTAATGCAAATAATCAATAGAGCCCCCCCCCCCCCCCCCCCAACACCTGAACCCCTGACCCAGGGGCCATGAAATTCACAATTTCTGAAAAGGCAGTCATGCTCATCATATATATGTTCTTAGTTAGTTTATTTAATATCCAGGAGCAGAGAAGAAGATTTTTCAAAGAATTAATGCATTTTCACTATATAGTCAATAGAGCCACCCCCCCCCCCCACCTTACACCAGAATCCCTGACCCTGGGGCCATGAAATTCACAATTTCGGAAGAGGCACTCTTGCTCATCATAACTATGTACTTAGTTACTTTATTTAATACCAAGGAGCAGAGAAGAAGATTTTCAAGGAATTAATGCATTTTCACTATATAGTCAATAGAGCCACACCCCCCCCACACCCCCCCAACACCAGAACCCCTGTCCCTGGGGCCATGAAATTCACAATTTTGGAAGAGGCACTCTTGCTCATCACAACTGTGTACTTTGTTACTTTATTTAATACCCAGAAGCAGAAAAGAAGATTTTAAAAGAATTAATGCATTTTCACTATATAATCAATAGAGCCCCGCCCTAACATCAGAACCCCTGATCCTGGGGCCATGAAATTCACAATTTTGAAAGAGGCGCTCTTGCTCATCATAAATTTATACTTGGTTTGCTTTTTTAATACCCAGGAACAGAGAAGAAGATTTTCAAAGAATTAATGCATTTTTACTATATAATCAATAGAGCCCCGCCCTAACACCAGAACCCCTAACCCTGCGGCCATGAATTTCACAATTTTGGAAGAGGCACTCTTGCTCATCATAACTATGTACCTAGTTCCTTTATTTAATACCCAGGAGCAGAGAAGAAGATTTTCAAAGAAATAATGCACTTTCACTATGTGATCTATATAGCCCCACCCTAGCACCAGAACCCCTGACCCTGGGGCCAAGAATTTCACAATTTTGGTAGAGGGCTCAATGCTTATTACAATGATGCCAACAGTTTGACTGCTTGATGTCCAGGAATAAAGAAGAAGATTTTTAAAGATTGCATTAATTTTGGTGGTTTTAGCCCCACCCCTCAGGCCCCAGGGGGGCAGGGACCATGATATTCACAATTTTTGTTCCCCTTCACCCATAGATGCTATATGCCAAATTTGGTTGAAATTGGTTGAGCGGTTTTAGAGAAGAAGCTGAAAATGGTCAAAAGTTAACGCACGACGGACGACGCACGACGACAGACAAAAACGGAAAGCAATAGGTCACCTGAGTGACTCAGGTGACCTAAAAACTGAACACAATGAAAAGTTCAACCCCCCCCCCCCCATTTCCTGTGTTATATGCCACTACATAAATGTGTTCACACATCAAAACAACACTAATATACAATGAAATTATGCTACAGGAGATCTAAACAACCTATTGTGAACAATATAATGCTGTTATTGTATTCGGCAGTTTTATCAGACACTACTTACTCTATAATATATACTGTATGTACATGTTAAGTAGGCAATATACCTTTCAATACATGTCTAGCTACAAGCACAAATCTTAATTCAAGACTAGTATATTCTGATAATTATATAAACATTTGCTAGATTCTGGTAGCCTCAGACAATCAGGTGCAGAAAGTGGTGTAAAAAGTAGGAAAATTTTCAAGTAGCAAGTTTCAAAAAGGAAATTTAAATAACAAATATAAAAAGGGTTTCTTTGAACTAATTAAAAAAAAAAACTAGATAGAACCCAAATTGTTTTAAGACAAGCCTGATTCTTTGTAGAAGATTCCAGCTTTACCATCAGACATCAATTTCACTGTCCTGAAATAGTTTTAAGACAAGCCTGATTCAAGGAGAAAGATTCCAGCTTTACCATCAAACATCAATGTCGCTGTCCTGTAATACTGTTGAGTAAGTTGGTGGTGGATCATGATAATCCTTGGTAAACTCACTACACTTGGATTTATTTTTAGGTGGACCCGATCTGTTGCTCGATACAAACACCTGAGTTTGATCTGGTCCCATCTTTGGTACAAGGTAGCCGTCATTTCCGACATCTGGCGGTGTGCCGGGTGCATACGTACTGGAATGTCCACTGTCTGTATCATCACTTCTATGAACATCCACTCGCATGTTTGTGTTGGAGGGAGAATTTTCACGATCTTTTTTACGGAGTTGTACCTCCTCTTCTTCTTCCATAGATTTTGTCAGAGGCTGAAGCTCCATAGAATCTCCCTTCTCTTTCTTTTTGTTCCATTTTTTCTCATTCACATAAGACACACCCCCATCGTACTCTTCTTGGTCCACAGGTGGGGGAGGGGCCAGCCCCATTTTAAGGTAGTCGGACTTTTTGTCTCTGTCACTCATTTTAAGATAGCCCTCACTGTCTGGTCCCCCACAAGCCCCACCCTCAAGGTCCACCATCTTCAAATATGGCTCATTCAGATCCAAATAATACTGTTCAAAAGAATCATAAAATTTTGTAGGTGATAAAACCGTAACATTATTTTCCTTATTCTACTGTTAGAAGAGAAAATTTAATTTTATAAAATCTATGAAAAAATAACATTTAATTGACAAGTTTTTAAATACGTGTACTATATTTTTCTAATTTTTGTTCCCTGAACTGAACTTTCCTAAGTTGCCTACCTGTTTGACATTTTCTTCCAGGAAATCCCCCATGATGTTAGCAAGCTGTGTAAAAGTAGGTCTGTCCTCCGGGTCAGCCCTCCAGGTCGCCTGCATGACCTTGTACCTGACACAGAAATGACCTCAGATGAAGTGTGCTCGACTTATCATCTCCTTCATTTGAAGATGTCTCATTCAAAGCTTTAATAAGTCAGACATCCCTTGCAAAAGATACGGTACCACTCCAAAACATTGTGGTACTGTATAAGGGAAAATAACTTGTAATGTTAATTATGGAATCTCTTAATTAAGTAGCAAATTTCAGATACAAGTGAATGATATATATGTACGTAAAAAGTCATTACACTTAATTTTTATTTGTTTGAATTCAAATAACCATGAAAAGATGTCAAAGAAAAAATTAGCGAAAGTATATACCTGCAAATCGAAACACTTATAAAGCAAATGAATGGAAAAGATATTGAGAATTCAACTTTTATATGTAATGCACACCATAAAACTTGGTCAGTATACTTAGCAATAAATATGAATTATTTCATTTAGAAAAAGTCTGAAATATGACTTGATACACTGAAACATTGCCATAATTTGACAACCTTCAGAATTTCCCAATTAATCCTTACAATTGTATCATCTCTATTTGTTTTCAACATACATTTCATCGGTGGCATATCGTGGTTTCTCCATTCTGTATCCATCCTGTAGGAGCCCAATAAACTTCTCGTTGATCTCTACCCCTGGGTACGGACTACCACCTGTAAATCAGAAACTACTTACAAACGGACTGCCGTTAACTTAGCCAAAATATCTACTTACATCAAATGATTACCAGAGAAAAAGTAACCGATTAATACTCACCTAGAGAAAATAACTCCCATAGAAAAACACCATATGACCACCTGATAAATCACAAGTTAGAGATGTTTAAATAATTTGAAGTTTACTCTACATGACTAGCTTGTAAATGATTCGAGTGCTAAGGAGAGATTTTTCATTTTATAAAAGACTGTACAGTAATTTAGATAAACTCTGTGATTGTGAACCAGGATATCAGTTTAGTGGAGTAGTAAATAACATTCAAATGAACTTGCACAACACTCTTTGTTATATACAGTCTATGTGTTAGAGACTCCATAAATAACTTACACATCACTCTTTGTTGTATACAGTGTGTGTGTTAGAGACTCGATAAATAACTTACACATCACTCTTTGTTGTATACAGTCTGTGTGTTAGAGACTCGATAGCCATCCATTTCACTGGCACTGGTCCCTGTCATAGACAAGTCAAGATTACAGTCATATTACTATCAAAGACAAGAAAACATTACACTCCATAGACAAGTCAAGATTACAGTCATATTACTATCAAAGACAGGCCACTTTCTATGATGCTCAATACACTTTTTTTCAGTGAGTGGTACTGTAGCTTTCTGGTCGTCCTTCCAATTTTTTTCAGACCAGAGAGCTACAGTACAATGTACAGTATATTACATAAATATACCTGTGAATTTATTAATCGACATGTAATTTTGTTATACATGTTATTATCAAAGTATATGAGTTTTAACAAATATGCAAACTGTTGTCATTTATTGAAATATCTCTGCTGATCTGATGAATATTACATAACACTAATAAGTCTGATTTGAAATTAAATTGCCACAAGTACTGATGACAAAACTTATTTTGTGACAGAAGGTGTTTTGAATAAATGAGAATATGTCTTCTGGATCAATTTTTGGAGAGAAAAAATATACAAAAAATATATTTTATCATAAATTTATTTGATTTTCAAATTTACTTTTTTTATTGTTCAAGATGTGGTTTCATTTTCCTTGATAAAAATAAGTGATTTTTTTTTAATATTTGTACAAATCATTCTTCATATAAACTGGACTACAGGTCAAGATTTAATATGATTTTGTGTTATATATGTATATCTTCCATTTCCAATACAAGCCTGATAGTCTATTAGAGTCAGAGAAAAGGCGTGCTTACACAACTAAAGACTTCAATATCAAAGATATTCAGATGGTATTTAACCAAACCCAGTGTTTTTATTATACTCACATCTGTTTTCTTCAGATATTCTGGATTATTGTAGAGATCCTTGGCTAACCCAAAATCACATATTTTGACAATGTTGTCCTCCGCTAAGAGAACATTTCTTGCTGCGAGATCTCTGTGTATATACTGTAATGAAACAGAATGTTTTTTCTTATCAAATTTTCATGTGTAATAATATACAATATATCTTATTTAATCTGCATGCTGTCCTATCTGTTACAATCAATAGATACATGTACATTTGCAACCCAAATTAATACTTTCATGATTTTGGCTAAAACTGATTTGAAATTATGCTTTTTCACATGGCATACATTTCACAAAAATATGAAATGAAGGTGAGAGGTGAATATTATCAAACTTTTGACTGAAACCAAAAGAAACAAACGTACAGTCCAGTCCTTTTGAGCTACTTTTGTGTACTGAATGCCTTACTTTTTTGGAGGCCAGGTACTCCATCCCTCTGGCCACCTGGAATGACCAGCAGATGAGGTTTTTTGTGGTCAAAGGTGGTCCCACTAAGTCGGCAGTGTTTTCCATCTGAGCCTTGTTTAAGTAGTATGGCTTATTGGCAGCCGCCTCTCGTGCTGCTTCCCGTTTTTTCTGATGGGCTGGGTCCATGTAGTCCTCCATTACATCTCTGAATTCTTCCTTATGCTTCAGTAGATAGGATCGAAGGTTTCCAAAATGACAGTATTCCACAATCACATACAGTTCACCTGGACAATTTATAAAGACACTTTTGTAATTTGATCTAAGGGTCTACATGCCTGCTACTTCAGTATTTATTTAAAATACCTTGTGAAAATAAAATTTTGGTTCATGAATTTTATATGTCTCTACTTGACACATTATAAGCACTTAATGTTGATGTGAGAACAATGAAGATTGTTACCATATCTAATATCTTTGGTGACAGCCCCTAGTAAGTTGACAATGTTAAGATGTTGTCCCACATGAATGAGAATCTTCAGTTCCGACAGTAATGCCATCATTTGTTCTCTGTCTGTACAATCTGTGGAACAAATATTAAACAGTTATGTAGTTTACTCCATTTTTATTTCACAGTACAAAGGTTATTTATATCAACCTCACAATTTTGTGAAAGTGGAGACTTATGAGTGTTATTTATATGCAAACTTTTTAACGTAAATTTTCCCTCAGGTTTTTTCTTTTTTTTAATACTGTAAGGCTTAATGATCCTTATACATAATTATGTAAGCATCAAGAAATAACTCCTGCTTGTAACATCTATTGTATTTTTCATATAGTAAACACCAGAAACTTTTAATTGTTCCAAATTGCAATAATTGATTACTTTTTTTTAATTTAATAGCTTCCATCTTTTTAACTTGATTTTTAACTTAGTTTTTAACTTGACCTTTTTAAGTACAATTCAATGCAACTGAGTACTCTTCAAACCTATCTATTAATATACATGTGTTTAATACATGTATACATTTTTCTTTAATCTTTGACCTACCTTTGACCATTTTGACAGCTACCACGGTGACATCTTCATGTTCCAGAATTCCAATGGCCTCGGCCTTGATCACTCGGCCAAATGCTCCTTGTCCCAGAACCATACCTAGCACACAACAAAACAGATATCTGTCATCTAATAGCACTTCTATTTCTAAATCCAATTTCACATTTTTATTGGAACCATAAATTCAAAGACATTCAGTGAAATTAGAATTCTGCACAATTATTGCCTGCAATAGTAACATTATGAGAGGGGAAAAATGCAGCACTTTGATACTGATACAATGTATACCGAAAAAGAAATTCATGTATGTTTAATTTGCGGAAAATCTTGTTAATTCAGAATAGTTTTTACGGAAATCTTCATTTATAGTATTAATAGATAACTATTAATGTAAATGTTTGTGGTTTCAGTGTAGAGACAATTACCTTGTCTTAACCTTTTTTTAGGGAACTCCCATTTCGGGTCGTAGGGTATACATCCTGTCTGTTCGTCGAGGGGAAGGTCAGGGTTATAGTCGGCATTGGGCTGGATCAGCTGATGCTCAAGTTCTTTGTGCTGTAGATAGAAATAAATTGTTCTACTATTTACAGTGTAAAAAATTTGGCAGTGATGGTACAGAATGATGGTGAAGTGTCAGGTACATGTATGCCATATAATAAGTAAACAATCAAGGTGTGTAAATGATACAGCTATGGCACAGCATTAATACATAGATTTTCATGACTCAGTTTGACAATTAAATATCAATGGTTTGGACTCTTCTGATAAATCAATCAATTTGTGGTTTCTATCAGTTTCAGCTCAGAAGCTAATTCAATGATGGTTTTTTATTGTGAAAAAGAAGTATGTTCCATGAACATTGATTCTGGCCCTCATTTTCATACTTTGTTCTAAGAGGATCAAAAGATAAATGGGGATGGTGTGAATAGGTCTATGAACAAAGAAACAAATAATGAATCCAGGAACACAAAATGAACGACAATGAAACAAAATGATAGGTAATGTAACAAACAAATGCAAGTTAGAATAGTTCAATTTTTAGACAGTTAATGACCCCATCCAAGTTCTGGAGGTGTGCTTGATTTTTGTGTGCAGTGTTTTGGTGATTTGAAACCAACATGGTGAACAATAACATGTTCTCCTACCTCAGTAAGGGATCTGAAATTCCGGAAACTACATTCATCATAATCTTGACTTGCAGCTCTCTTATACTGTATAACGGGTTATTTTAGCGGGGTGCTAATTTTGGCTTATTTTGATATAAGCCTGCTAAAATTTTTATCACTAAAATATTCAGTACTCTTCTTAGTTTTCATCTGCAAAGAGCTGAAACCCTGTGTCCGCTAAAATAAATTACGCCAAAATTATAGGCATACTTTAGAGCAGGCAAAATTGCCAAATTTTACATCTGCTAAGAAAACCCGCTATACGGTAATTACAAAAGATTTTCATCTAGGGATTTTTGAACATGTTATTTTCTCTCATTTTTGTAATGCATCACATTATTCAGGTTTATATCTTTATAAACTTAATAGCTTCCAAAATGATAAATTTAATAGCTTCCAAAAATGCTGACACTTGTGCCTTATGAATAACAACCTCAAACATTCAAATTATTGAAATCACCTTTCCAAATCATTAGTTATAGGTGTACTTTTCATATATTGGCTTTTCTGGCAAAATTGTAATAATTAAGCATGAACAATTAGTACAAAGCCGAAAAATACATAGATATTTAAAAAAAAAAAAAAACTACCAACATATCTAGACACGTAACACAGAGCTCTGAATAAGCTAAAACAAGTACATGTATAGGAACATACACAAACATATTGAGTTACACATGGTATATGCTCTTTAATATGTTTCAATCTGCCTTCACCACTTTTGAGTCGAAAAAAGCTAAGTTGGCTAACAAACAAAATATATTCAAATCTTACCAGGGCCAAGGATCTTCGCCTGTAACATATGACACTGATTCCCACGACGATGACAATAATTATAATGGAGGCTATCACAACCGCAATGATGGTAGTTTCATCAACGGAAGACACTAAGCTTCCAGGAGGGTTAGAAAAAGTTTCTGTTGAAAAAAAAGATAAAGTTTATAATATCTTTTAGCAAATACAGAATATCATAATAGAACACAAAAGAGGAATACGATTTAATCAAAGTGCAGGCTGATCAAACTACAGTGGTCCCTAGAGGACTTGTTCCTCCCCTGTGGAGCACACTCAAAACATTTAAATACTTGAGGTATTACAATCGAAATCTCAACAATCACAAAACATTTACACTGATATATTCCTGTGATCTATAAATTACTTTGATTCAGGATTAAGAAATACCCCCAATTATAAGCAAATTCTTTATCAATAAGCCAATTCAGGTAATCAATGTTCTTTGCTTAAGGCCATGTTTATTTTTTCATCCAGAAATATTTGCTAAAATACATATGTTTGTGACCTTGGCCCTTGACCCTTTCATCTGAAAGGGGTCATGTTTTAAATAAAGATACGGAAGTGAATCTGGAAACCATTTCAAAACCATGAAGCAATTCCTTTCACCTTTTGGGCTCAAAATAAATGAAGGTCTTCCTTAAATTAATAGAGTATGTGTTATCTTTATGGTAATTCCTGTATAGAAATTACTTTTTTGTACTCACTGATGTGTAGGGTCCAGTTTTTGTAAATGGCCCCCACCATGTTCTCCACCTCACAAACATATGTCCCAGAATGCTCTTCACCAGTCTGATTGATTGATAAACTTTAAAAAAAAAAAGGAGATAAGAGATCCTTAACTATCATTCTAAATGATTCAGAGCTACTGTATAGGGTTGGTCTGTTAATCTATCAAATATCAGTATTCTAACAATTACAGAAGTAAATCTATTTAATATATTATTCTTAAAGCTCAGACTAGAAACGTCCAAAAGGGACAAATACCCCCCGCATGGTTTTCAGAGAAGGTGCCAAGTCACTAATACTAGTATTTGATGGATCTAAGAGGTGTTCACAATTTGTTTAAACATTTAGAGTGAAAATTTACTGGTAATTGCTCATTAAATTTTTTTAATGAATGAAACTAATGTGCAGTCTAATAAAACATCAATACTTATAATAACATTTTTTTTATTACATTGAAAAAATAAATAACGATTTTTCAAGTATTTCTCTGTTGGAAAGTATGGATGCATTATTTATCCATTTTTTCTACAGTGACTATAGGTCAAGATCATGACACACCCTCAGGTCATAAGCAATCTTTGTGTGAAGTGGAAACTTCCAACATCCCAACATTATTCTCCATAAGAAAGATACAGACCGGACACGAATTATGAACTTTTTCTTTCAGTGACCTAGAACTTGCCCAAATGACCTTGGGTCAAGGTCATGACACACCCTCAGGTCATGAGCAATCTTTGTGTAAAATGGGAACTCACCAAGTTTATCCATAAGAAAGATATGGACCGGACACGAATTATGGACTTTTTCTTTCAGTGACCTTGAACTTGCCCAAATGACCTTGGGTCAAGGTCATGGCACACCCTCAGGTCATGAACATTCTTTGTGTGAAGCAGTAGATTCTAATGTTCCTCCGTAAGAAAGATATGGACCGGACACGTTTGCACAGACTGACAGACAGACGGAAGGTTATTCCTATATATCTCCCAAACCGTGTTTGCAGGGGGTATAATTGAATATGTACTGTAGAAAATCAAATCTTTTGTTCTAAGCTCTAGAATTTATTTAAATGTGGAAATCTTATGAGGTTTATAAAGTATGAACCTAAACAAGACCTTGACACCTTAACTCTTTTTGGCCAAGTGACCTCAAATCTTGTGGTGTCTATCTTGAATAGTCTACCTGTGTGCCAAGTTTTAATGAAATTAGACTAGCATTATATATGAACTTCAAATATATTTTTTTCTTTATCATGGCAACATACGAGGGGTGATCAAAAAGTTCTAACTAATTGAATTACTTCCTTAAAAGAAATAAAATGAGGTTTCAGTGTTTATTATATTTTATGCCCTGTTCATACGGAGAGTTTAATTCGCAGTAAATTAATGCGAAGTAAAATGATGCGAATTAAACTAATGCGAATTAAATTGCGTTCACACAACAGCTAATGTGAAGTAAACTAATGCGAATTATGATTTTATTTCTACAAGGCTATTCAGTGAGGCTATTATGACGTCATTTACAAATCACATCATATTGTGCCCAGCAAATATATACATTTGACATAATGTCAGTGTCTTTACACATTTTAGTGATTAACATAATTTTCCTTTGTTTTTAAATCAAAAATAGCACAAGTACCTATATTTGACCATCGACATGTGGCCTGTGACTTAATTCTGCCCTAACGCATGCGTCAAAATTTAATTCAAATTAGCTTCGATTAGCGTTCACACTGAGTTTAAATGCGAAGTAATTTAATGCGCAGTAAACTAATTTGAATTAAACTAATTCGCATTAAATTCTCAGTGTGAACGCGGATCAAATTTAATTCGCAGTAACTCATGTTTAATTCGAATTAAACTCTCCGTGTGAACAGGGCATAAAAGTAGTCTTCTCCGATTTTAATGCACATCTGCCATTTTTTTTGCCCATGCGCAAATCACATGATCCAGGCAGTCACGTGACATGCTCCGTAGCAGTCTGTTCGGAGAAGCTAAAAGATTTTTCCAAGTCTTATATTTCTTGCCATGCAAGTTATTTTTTATAACAAGAACAGTCCATCTGTCAGAAATGGCCAAATCTCGGCAATAGGATGGGTGGATAAGGATATCCCTTCCCACAATTAGTATGATGACCCATCACAACCCGAGTCCTCTGTCTTGGGAGCGTCGTTTATCCAATGTGGATAAAGTATGGGCGCCTTCTTTTTATCATATCTCATATGTTTAAAGTCTAAAGCAAACGATATTTTAGGGATTTAATAATTATATTATTGTTAAGATATTCAACCAGTTTTGCAATTGTAACTTGACGATGTTTCATAACAAATTGCTCAATTAAGGACAATCTTTTCTCCGGTTTGCTTTCACTGGGCAACAGAACAAACTTCATATTTAACCATCTCCCTGTCTTTACTTAAACAATCAATCCAAATAATGACTGAACTTCTGGTAAGCCTTTTGTCTTCATAAACCTTGTACAAATTATCATATTCTACTGCAAACGAATTTCCAAGATTACATTAAACTTTACAGTCGTTCGTTGCTCGAGTACGACTGAGTCAACCATTTTTTGTCACAAGTGACCTACACATTGACGTCATTTTCACATTGTGTCATCACAAACACAGAGCAAAAAATTAATTTAACATCTGTTATTTGTAGAACATGTGTATGACTACATGTGTGCCAAATTTCATTCTGATCTGAATTATGGTTTTTAAATAAAGAGATTGATCACGAACTTTTTGATCACCCCTCATAGTTCATATAAAAAACTATGAAATTAATTATGAATCTTGATGTACGTAGTCTACTTGAGCAATGTTTTACTGAAATCAAACCAAACCTGTAGAAGGGGTAGCATTTTGAAAGAATTTCACATATACATATGTAGATCGAAAACAAACAGGTCTACTACCAGTGGAGTTTACAATTTTCAAATTTTAGCAATCTAAGAAAATTTTGCTTAATATCTTAAAATACTTACAGTTGATTAATCACTGCACCAATAAGTCACAGAAAGTTTAGATTGATAAGCATTTTATACTTAATGCAATAAAAAAAACACTGGCATTCTCCCAACATTTTTAAATGGAGTAAATCATACTACTAATAACTGGGGGCACCTTGTATTGTCAGGGGAGAGACTCAAACCCAGTGAGTCATTGTTGGTGTTCAGGAGTTGTCCGTCCTTGTACCAATGTATAGATGGTGCTGGTACTCCGATGGCACTGCAGTCAGCCAGTACGTATGTATGTCCACTGTTGGTTTCCACTGGCTTCTCACTTGAAGGACTGCCTTTGATGAAGACAGGCATTCTGAGGGCTGAAGATATCAGTAAAAAGTCAGCATGAGATTCAAGATTTCCTTGGCTTCTATGATTTTATACATTAATACAAAATGTTACGTTTTTATGATTACAAGATTCTTTTCAATAATTTATTGTAAATGTATATTTATATAATTTTATACTTACATTTCATTTGTATGTTCCTTTCCTCATCCAGATAGTATTGGGTTGAATTCAGGTATGTGACACTACAGGTGTAAAGGCCAGTATTGTTGGAGGTCATCTCTTCTATATGCAACTCAGAAATCCATGACAAATTGGAACTACAAAACAAAGGTTAATTGTATTTTTTTCTCTCAATATACCTAAAGCTTCCAGTAGTTTTAGAGAAAGGGAGCAAAAGACATTATATTAATATTACCGCTTAGGTAACAGGGTGGTTCCATTTTTTATTTGTATGTCACTCCATGCCTCTTGTTGATTTTTCCGAAAGACAACTTTTACATCTGAATACTCCCATCTTGTAGCTTTACAAGTGATTGTCAGTGGAAATGTTTCTATAATTGTCGACTGGTCTTCATGTACAGCTATACCTACTCCAGTCTCATACTCTTAGCAAAAAAAAAACAAAAAACAAAATGGCTTCAACATTCTGCAATGTCATCTACCAAGGTAAAGCTCAAATAAAATACAAAAATATGTACAGTAAATCACACTAATAGCTATTACTGCCTGGGAAGAAGAATTCTGATTTAATTATTATAAACTGATTCATTATATCCTGAAATTCAATATGAAATAGATTTAATTTAAATCAAGGTGCAAAATATTCTTTTTTTGAGTAAGTCTGCAGGACTGTACTGAACAGATCTTTACTTTAATCATTTTTCTTGCAAATTTTTTCCCAAATGTATTAAGTACATAAAGCAGGTGTGCCCTGAAATTTTTTTAACCTATTTACTTCTATTAATGATCTTAGCTTAATTTGACGAAACTTTCGTCCTGCTTTTTTTTTATTGAATAAAATGCCCTCAACAGTGACAGATATTACTAACTTTTATAAATTAGACAATAAAACAATAAATTAAAAATTGTGCACTCTTTGAATCCATTTTTCTGGATTTTCAAATTTTTCTATAGACCCAACCCCAAACTGCAAATATTTAATTAAGCTAAGCATAAATACGTAAGCGTTAAAATGGCATATAACACATTACATGGGTATCTGAAACAAATACCTGCAATGTTAATCCTAGTTTCATTTGACCTTAATCCCATCTTATTCTCAGCAAAATATCTAAGGTGTCCCGATTCCTGGAATTGTAAACGACCCCTTGCTGTTGAATTAAATTGTTCCCAACGACTGCTGATGATTGTACAGCGCGGGGGAACCTGGCACGGCTGCCAGAGCCAGCCCTGAGAGGTAGCTGGAGGCACGGCCGAGACAACCGCCCAGATTTTGTAGGGGGTCTGCAGAAGGTAGTAAGGATACTGTCTATCTGTGCCTTTTATAAACACCTCTGGAGCATCTATCAAAAAGTAAAACAGTGTTAAATATAGATTAAACATAACATAAAAGAAACCATTAGAATGAAAGTAAATCTTAGAAAACTAATCACTGTAAATGTACTTTTCTCCGCTGGGTCATAATTTTATTGAATGACAATTTTGGTTTAATCTGTGAGTATAAGATTACTCTGAATTCTTGGATTGCCATTCCTGTATGTCTTGTGTCCATCTTAAGTATCCATGACAAAGAGCTAGGTTCACTTTATGCATAAAATGGCCCTGTCCTTAGATCAATTAATTGACTATCACCCTCTGTCCCATATCATATATCAAAATAAAAAAGAGACTTTGTTCTTTCATTTCCTATAACAAAATTTCCTTTTGAGGATCCAGTTATTGGAGAACAGGCTTTAAGAAAATGCAATGCTCTTGAATTTTGCAGAAAACATGCGTATTTGACTATCTTCAGCAAAGAATTAAAATATGAGCACAGCCCGCGATCCAAAAATTAAAACATGTTTCATAATCTTCAGAAACAGATCTTTCTGTATGTTATTGCATATTTTGGATTAGAGGTTGTGCTCTATATGAAATATTGAAAAAATAATTCAATTTTGGGCCATTTTTAAAGGAATTTACAGGATATGGGGAAAATGACGCATTTTATGACGTCATAATGCATTGACTAGAGAGAAAATTATGTCATGTTCAATAGATACACGGTCACCAAGGGTCCAAGTGATAAATACTGCATTTTCAACTAAAACTGAGCAGTTTTGATTTTTCAGAAATTCTCAGGGCCAAAAAAGGCCCTAAGTGGCTCTTGCTCTTTACGTAAAAATTTGTCACCGTGTACTTTGTGTAATTAATCCCCATCAAAAAAGTACAACTACAGCATGATGATATATTTAGTCCAAAAATAATGGAAAAGTGTTTCCATTTGATAAACATATAGTCCACATACACTATTAAATAAAATTAGGAGATTTATCAACACTTAATTCTTAATTCTTTTCACAATAAAAGGGAAAACAATGATGACTGTGAAACACACTGCTATTGCCTATGAAACACACTGCTATTGCCTATGCTAGGAATTGCTCTGTGAACTCAACTTTGACCTTATCCCCAGTGAGTGACATGAACCTTTGAATTCAATTCTAAGATATAGTCAAATCTAGTCAAACTTATAGATAAAAGGACTCAAAACAATAGCTTCTGATCAATGAAAACTATGATTGTGATACATTTACACTATACACTGTGAAATACATGTATTACTAGGCTTTATTTTTTCTTTGTCCTTTTCAACCTTGTTTAATGGGCATATTTCAAAGATGGCTAATTCAGGAGAAGACACAAACCTGCAGCTCTGTCTTTCCGTCTTTGGAAAAATTTAATGTTAAGAAAGATTACTGATGCATTTCTGTAAAAATATCCATATGTGTATATGCAATCATCATTAACTGAGCTGAGAAAAGTAGACTCACACTGATAAATCAGTTTAAATCTGACGATGTCCGAGAGATTTCCAGCTCTGACTACCATCTCATATAACCCAACTTGTTTCTTCCTCGGCATCTCAATGGACAAAGAGACATTGAACTGGGTTCTTGTATTATTCAAAATGCTGAAAAAAAGGACATTTAACATAAAGTAGTGTACTTATATGATATTGAATTAAAATGCAAAAACGGTACTATTACCCAGTATACCAGGATTTCAATAAATTTTATTTCTTTGTATGGGGGAACAATATATCAAAGTCCCGTATTTTCATATCAGTATGGATACATCAACTTAGTATACATCCATAAAGTCAATGACTTGTATTATAAGAGATGTAAAGAATACTTACGTCGGGTTCAAGAGGCTCATTGTAGGGATGTCTAGGGTTCTTATATCCTTTCCTTGAAAGTACCAGGTAAAACTGGGCCGGGGATTTGCTTTAACGAGGCAGGAGACTTGGACTCCAGTTTGATCTGGACTAACATAAACTTTCCAATCTTCATTTAAATTCACCTTGGTCATGCCATTCTTGCACTCTCGGATTTCTATTTGGCCTTCCCCTGAAAAGAGAAAAAAAGAAACACATATCTTTTTTTGGTATAAACACATTTGGTATAAACACACCCAACCTTGATTGGGACTAAATGACCCTGATGCCAGGTTGGTACACACCTTATGGTATCCAGCAACCCATGTGCCTAGTTTAAACCTATAAAATGTTTCTCTAGTGTTGGCCATGACAAAAATTTCACATGGGACTCTCACATTGTCCACATTACATTATTAAATTTCATTTGTTGTTAAACAATGGCATCCTTACATTCAGACATTGACAAATCTTATACTTCCTTACACCTTTATAAAGTAATTGGTCAATGGCTTGCAATTTATCACAACTAATTAAGTCAATCAATTTCTATTAGTTGTATTGTTTGAACTACATGTATTTCAATACGCACAAGTACAATGAAAAGTAGTTGTTAGGTCAAAGTATATAAGGTGTTGGTCAGGCTTGAAGTAGTTGTCGACGAGCAATCAACCAGTCTCAAACACGCTTTCACCTGTAGCACTTATGACTGAGTCGAATTCTAGCCACGTGGGAGAGGAGCAGGTTATTCATGCTGTGCCGCAAAGTGATTGACCTGGCTTTATACAGAGTTCTAGAGATGATTTTACAACTGAAGATGCATTGGACATTTTTTCCGATAAACTAGAGATGGCATTAAGAAGACAAAAACAAGAAATTGTCAGGGAATTGAATTTAGCCCAGAGAACATAGGAGAAAAAGGTACCTGACTTTAAGTATCAAAGAAATAAAATTCAATTTGAATTTAACGCAGACAGAGAATATGACATTAAAAAAGCAGTAAACTTGCTGGAAAATAACATAATAGAAGCAGCTAATGAAATTTTGAATTCTACAGTTAATCACTTGAATAAAAGAAACAAAATTGTTCATATTGCCAATAAATATGGCTGGGATGTTGTGCAAGAATACCAAGATGATGCTATCACTGATGATGCTTCTAAGCTTTAACAAGCTTTTTTCAGAGCAAAGGAAAGAAAAAACAAGAAGCCTTGTGAGAGATCAACATGTGCATATCTTGGTCAGGAAATGCAGTCCTTTCCGGGACAGTTTTTTCACTCGTATGGGCAGGATTTGGGAAGGTAATAACTGGATAGTACCGTACCTCCTGTCAATTTGATTGTAAGAGTGATTAAACATTTCATTTTGTGCAAATCAAGTCTCTTATTATTCCTAGATGTCAGTGTGCACCTTTCTGGCCTTTATTAGTTAGAACATTTTCTGGGAATTTTCAAAGAAATAAAAATGTTAAAAGAATGGCTTGAATATAACTAGCCTCGTAATTTTTTTTTTCCGAATAGGATCTGATGCATACAGCATGTTTGCTGAGCCATAATTTCAGAGTAATGTTATTGTGCTTTACATACTAGTAGATTGTTCTGATTTTTGAAGTTTGCAATTTAAGGATATGCGATCCTTATAGCCAGGAAGGATAACTCTTAAATTTATTTTTTTTTTTTTAAAGTCTCAAAATGAAGCTTAGAATTGAGATCTTTTCGTTCAACGATTTTCATTTTATGCATCTCAATATGATTCACATAGAAATGGTCTTTTGAAAAATTGACATTTGTACCCCATAAAAAAAATAATAGTGATAATTAATTTTTAAAGAAATCGAATTTCTTTTAATTTAGCATTAGATACCAATGCTTATAAATAGCATGATATGAAATTAAACGTGATCTGTGATGTCTAGCAATGATAACAAGCATTTTACGCTATGTATTATATAACAAGTGAAGTAAATAGAAGAACTAAAATACTCTATAAGCATAAAAAAGATGCAATTTTCTGCAAATGCCTGGATACCTATATTTTTTCATCCTAAAATATATTTGTTGATCAATTTATATTTTATAAATGATGATTTAGTATACTGAAGCTTTGACAGCACAGTTTGCCTTGAATGGGTAATGTATTATAGCCTTAATGGGGCATTGTGAATTAGCCTTTGCAGGTGAGTTTAGGCTAGGTATAGGCATTTCTATGCAAATAATTTAATTAAAATGCCTAGTAAGGACTATATCTATTATACAGAGAAAGTTAAAACTTATTGTCTTATTGTCTAATACATACTTGGTACCCACGACATGAGATAGCCAGTACACATTATGACGTCATATTATGACATCGTTCTTTACTACTGAAGATTATAATGAATATCAACAACAAGAGGCCCATGGGCCACATCGCTCACCTGAGCACTGTGGCTAGGAAAAAAGCAAAACTCAGTTCAGTATTGAAAAGCTTACATGCATAAATGGTCCCGACCTACCCTTAAAATGGGGGGTTGGGTTGGGTTGGGTTGGGTTGAGGGTATATTTGAACAAAATTGAATCTACACTAACTAAGGATGCTTACATATTTCTTTGACTAACTGTGGCTTCTTTTCCTGCAAGTTTAAACTTTCATTGTTGTCCCACCCTACCCCCGGGGGTCATGATTTGAATAAATTTGAATCTACACTATCTGAGGATGCTTCCATATAAATATGACCAATCATGGCTTTGCTGTTCTAGAGAAGAAGATTTTTAAAAATTTTTCCTATATACTCCTATACAAAACTTGGATTGTCCATTGTGGCCCCCACCCAACCCCTGGGGGTCATGAATTGAACAAATTTGAATCTACACCACCCGTGGATGCTTCCATATAAATATGACAAATCATGGCTTTGCTGTTCTTGAGAATAAGATTTTTGAAGATTTTTCCTATATACTCCTATGAAAACTATGATCGTCCATTGTAGCCCCACCCAACCCCTGGGGGTCATGATTTGAATAAATTTGAATCTACACCACCCGTGGATGCTTCCATATAAATATGACCAATCATGGCTTTGCTGTTCTTGAGAAGAAGATTTTTGAAGATTTTTCCTATATACTCCTATGAAAACTATGATCGTCCATTGTAGCCCCACCCAACCCCTGGGGGTCATGATTTGAATAAATTTGAATCTACACCACCCGTGGATGCTTCCAAATAAATATGACAAATCATGGCTTTGCTGTTCTTGAGAAGAAGATTTTTGAAGATTTTTCCTATATACTCCTATGAAAACTATGATCGTCCATTGTAGCCCCACCCAACCCCTGGGGGTCATGAATTGAACAAATTTGAATCTACACCACCTGAGGATGCTTCCATATAAATATGACCAATCTTGGCTTTGCTGATCTTGAGAAGAAGATTTTTGAAGATTTTTCCTATATACTATTTTGTTAAACTATGATGATCGTCCATTGTAGCCCCACCCTACCCCCGGGGGTCATGATTTGAACAAATTTGAATCTACACCACCTGAGGATGCTTTCATATAAATATGACCAATCATGGCTTTGTTGTTCTTGAGAAAAAGATTTTTAAAGATTTTTCCTATATACACCTACAGTACAGCTCACGAGTTTCTTCCGGAAAACACCGGCCACGGTGGACCCTTGGTCCACGCTTTTGCGTGGACTTTGAAAAATGTCGGTGTCTTTGATGTTTCGTTTTCAGCGCTAAGCTGGCACACGGTGCGACACGGTGTGTACACGGTGGGACACGGTGCGTTTGCTCCGTGGAACTCCATGCTGGTTAATCAACGTTAAGTGGTTTGAAATTACTTTAAAATAATTCATTGAAGATTTTAGAATAAAAATCATTGAAATGCATATCATCCGCAGCGTGCATTTTCCTACTTTCGATATTGTACTGACGTGTCAATGAATTTAACAAAGACGGAATTTTACCATGCAGTCAGCAATCTTGTGTTTTTTGGAAGATATATCTTCTTAAAGATTATTTTGTTTGTAAAACAAAAGCTAAATCTAAATTAAAAAAAAAAATAAAGGAATATTCTGCATTTGTACTATGCTCAGGAAATCCATTTGGAATTGTTAATTGATTATCTTATCCGACGTACTTTTTTTTTAATTATAAATTACTGTAGAAACTGGTGTACATGTACATAATTACTACATCAAAATACGACTCAGAAAATATATTGTTTAATTTAATTTGAATTAGATGAAAAAAAAATAGCTATGAAAAGATTGACTTAAATTTCCGTCCCGTAATGGCACCCATATTGAGATGAGACCCAATGTAGTCTCTGTGTAATGAGTAAATCTCTGCCCAGCCCATCAGAAAATATGAAATGTTGATATTCAGGTATTGAAGATGCCCCACTTTTTCATCTGTGTCTGTTTGTAATTGTTTAGAATTATGTTTAAAATATAAACCTTAATATTTAACTTGTATTTTGTGTACAGATCGAAGCATTATGGGCACAATATTTTTCACAAAACTTGTCGCCAAGAATAATCACAATATGTAAACGATAAGATGTAAAACGTTATAATTATGCTCAACAATATTGTCAATGACGTCGATAATGGAAAAAATTTCCAATGATACTATTCAATGAAAATGATATTTCTGCAATATGTTCTATGTTAAACAATGATGTAAAAAGCCAAACAGTTTTCTTCCGTAACGTGTATGAAAAAAAAGTCTGCTATAATTGTTAATAGGTTCACTGCCTAACT